TTAGCAATGACACCTCGTTACATCGACGTGAAACCGGCAAATATCGTTTGGTCGAATTTGAAGCTGACCTACTATGAGAAGAAAGTACGACAACTCGCTATTTTTGCTGCAACAGCGATTCTCATTGTTTTTTGGGCCATTCCCGTTACCTTCGTCGGTCTGCTCTCGAACTTGACTTACCTTACAGACAAACTGACCTTTCTCCGATTCATTGACGATTTACCGAGTACTATTCGGGGTTTAATTACCGGTCTCCTACCAACTGTTCTATTGGCTGTTCTCATGGCATTGCTTCCTATCGTGCTCAGACTATTTGCAAAAATATCTGGTATTCCTACAACCGATGCAATCGATCGTTATGTGCAAGGATCTTACTTTGTTTTTCAAGTCATTCATGCCTTTCTGGTCGTTACGATTTCTAGCAGTGTTGCGAGTGTTGTTATAGCTATTATTCAAAATCCATCTAGCGCAGCAACAATACTCGCGGCAAATATTCCTACTGCTAGCAACTTCTTTCTCAGTTTTCTAGCATTACAAGGTTTGAGCGTGGCTTCTGGGCTCTTGCTGCAAATTGTTACACTCATCTTATTTTATCTTTTTGGAAAAGTATTCGATAACACACCGCGAAAAAAATGGAAACGTTACTTCACTCTTAGTAGTCTAAATTGGGGTACGGTTTTTCCTATTTTCACTAACTTCGTCGTCATCACTCTCGTGTATTCTATTATTGCCCCTCTAATGCTCCTCATTTCTGGATTAGTATTCGGTTTGTTCTACGTTGCTTACCTTTACACCATGTTTTACGTCTCAGACTTCCCGAACGATACTGGTGGTCTTGCGTTTTCAAGAGCAATTTATCAGTCGTTTACGGGCATCTATCTGATGGAAATTCTGCTCGCTGGGCTTTTCTTCCTCGCTCAGAATGAATCCAAATTGCAGTCGGCTATTGCTGAAGGCGTTTTAATGTGTATATTAATCGCTATTACGATCGGCGTTCAGTTCACGATGACTTCAAGCTTTGATCCTCTCACATACTATTTGCCTGTTGATGCAGAAGAGTTCTCACAAATGGAAATATCCAGCTTTAGAAAAACTGCCTGGGAAACAGTAATTAACGTTTTGAATTCTTCAAGGGCGACGGATAGTACTGATGCTGTTAGCAATATCAATGTCGCCGTCAATGAATCATACGACAATACCATGGAGAACGCGTATCTTCATCCGGCCATGCGGGATCCCAAACCAACCATCTGGATTGCACAAGACAATTTGGGTATTGCAGTAGACGAAGTACGGCGAACTCGCGCTTCTGGATTAGATATTTTGATGTCGACCGAAGGAGCACGATTCAATGAAAAGAAGAACATTGAAGTCGATGGTCTACCTCCCGATTATGCGGAAAAGATAGACCAAAATGTCGTTCTAGCTCGCTTTTAGTACCTCGAAATGAATTACTGATAGACATGTTTCTAATTATTTCTACGGAATGACTATTGCCACTCTGTGAGAGTGTCAACAAGAGTCGTCGTATTTTTACTTTGGGGTGTAAGTTCCGGCACGCTTTATGAATTTCTTAACATTGGAGTTCTAAGAATGTTTTTCTTAATGCACAACTGGCTATTGAGGTTGTGGAGGTTAGCATAAATCAGTGCTTGCATTGCTATTGGTTTCCATTGTTTATCAACATTGACAGGGCTAAGAAAACACTAACAATAAATAAAATAGGACGATTAAGTTTTGACGCATAATAAACAATTTTGTCGTAGGAAATGGTGCTTTATTTTGACTTCATTCTAAGTCAGAGTTCACAAAAGAGTAAGAGTGAACTAAATCTGTAATGCGGGTGGAGTGCGTTCGCACAGAGGTAAGGTTTTAACTATCTGCCATCCATAAATGTTTCATATATTCATTCTCTAAAGTTCTAGCTGCAGGACGCTATTCTTAATCATCTAAACTTGTTTAACTATGAGCTGCAGGGGAATTATTTGTTCCGCACACAAAGAACAACTTATCACAGTTTGTTTATTTTCTTTCATCGCTGAAACTTTTTGCGTTTAGAGTGTTTTTAAACTGAAAAACCCAAATGTTTGAGATTCTCTTTAATGAAAATAGCAGTTTGTTTTTCCGATAGGATGCTTTCATTTTAAATTGATCTTCATTTAAACTGATTGCCAAAAGCTACGCAAGGTCTCTTTTTATTTTGGTTTCATTCTAGTGAAAACAATTACAGCTAGTTTTCTTAAAGCAAATTAAACTTTATTTTCACATTAGAATGGTAGTCTTGATCTTTTTGTTCTTCGTTTTATTTGGTTTTGATCAATAGTTGTGACTATTCTAGTCAAAAAATAAAAACTTGTGTATGCTCTATACTTCTTGCAGAAATCATAATTGTGTAGAATATCTTTAAGCCACATATGAAAAACGAAGCCATACATAGATGAATATAACTTACTTTTGCAAAAAACTTATTATCAACAATTTTCTATACCTTCTAAAGACCACTTGTGTAAATTTCTATACACACCAACATATTTCAGCGATAGTCTCACAATCAGTTGTGCCTTAGGGAAAACATTCTTAGAGCTTCAATGCAAAGAAATTCATAAAGCGTACCGGAACTTACACTCATAAGTTAAAAGAATGAATAGAAATTATTGGTTAATATTAAATTTTTGAGTTCGAGGGTGACAAGTATTCAGATATTAAAAAAAAGTCAATATCTAGTATCAATATCACTTGATTACGATGTATAGTTTAGTGACAACAAACTGAAAAAGCAAAAGAGACTGATAGTTTTGTTAAAATTATCGAAGCAAGGTTAACAATGCTGTAAGATGTTGGTGTTATGAAGAAATAAGTCAGGCAAGGTATACCTTTTCGAGAAATTTTCGTTGAAGAGCTAGCAGATTTCTGAGATGTATTTCAAAGGTTTTATACACTGAAATGAGGACCAATTAACCATATATTCTGTTCTATTATTCACCAATTTTAGAGGGTCTTCTATTGTGTCACTGAGAGAAATCATATTTTTCGGTACCCTCGTCAATAAAACACGCAGTTCAAAACCGCTGTATTTGACCACATTTTGTTTCGTTCAGAGAAAAACATATATACTTGCGCATCAGCTACAGAGATGCATATTCAAAGTGCAAAAAAGTCAAAAAATTTCTATTCTAGGGAGGTTTTCTTATGTGTTCATTGCTTTAGTTATATTAGATTGGCAACAAAGTTTTTGCGTTTTTTCTTTCCTCCATCTTTAGATAGAATGCAAAAAGTTTGTTGCCAACCTAATACTAACACAGTGGACTACATCTATTATTAAGGGAAGCTACATCGAAACAACACGAAAAAAATCACTTTTCCTTGTCAAATTCTAGCTATCAGTAGCTTCGAAAACTTGCTCATCGACAAACGTAGTAGTCGAAACAGACATACTCTACATATCTATAAAGATAGGAATAGTAACGAGAGCCACGTAAGAGGAGGATATACCGTACTTTATTTCATACGATGTTCATCTCTGAAGTCCGTTACATCCGGGATATAATGGATGTTAGTATAAGTATTTGTTGACACTCTCTTCCATTTATTGCTTGCAATCCTCAAAATGTTTCTCATTCATCTATCTTTGGAAAGTGTATGCTCCTTGGCTGTATTTCCTTGTTCACTGGTTTTCTTCAACTAAACATTGATCATATTGGCTTATTCGAAACACTTCTATAGAGATTCGAAATGGTATTACAAACAATGGAGTATTTGTTTTTGTTCTACTTCTTTTGACTGCAGAAGGTAACTCATTAATACATATAAGGAATAGAAGAGCCCCTAACACTGATCCCTGGATTACACCCGATTTTAGTGGTGTAGGAGGAGATAGAAAAGACCCTATTCTAACTTGTCGTGACCTATCGGTAAGATAATTTTCGAACCGTTGGAGACATAAAAGAGAAAGACCTAAGGTGCATAGACGAGAAGTTATAATTTGATATGGGACGTTATCCAAAGCTTTTTCAATATCAAATGCGACCAAGACGCTATCCACTGGCGGCTGCGAATTTTTAAACTGTTTGTGAGTTTGTGTAAAAGACAAAGAAGAGCATCAATGGTTGATGTCTTAGGACGAAAACCAAACTGGTTGTTAAATGTATATTATGTATGCAATGAGTACTGTACCTTCTGTCTAACAGAGTAAAGCTTAATCCTCTAGATACAAGTATGAAATCGATTTGGGTATGAACCAATCCGTGAATTTCTGAAATTGTTTTTATCACTTTCTTCAGTTTTGGGGCATACCCTTCCTCTTCTGAACCCTTCGCGCCCCCTGCCTTTATCTTGCAGTTTTATAAGCACAATCTCTCTGTATGAATCTCTTTTATTAGAAATAGGAGAACATATCTTTTTGCTCATATCAGCAAAGTCTACCTTATTTTCTCTTGTACATCTAATTTCTAGTTTTATTCTCTAGAATATATAAAGAAATGATTAAAAAAAGCATGAAAGCGAAAAACTGTGGAATACTCTCTGGTTGTTTTTATTTAACTATTCAATTTCGTTCTAGTGCTGACTGATCCGTGGTCTGACGTTCCAGTGCATCTGCTATAGTGACATTGATGCACTTTAATAAGAAAAGATGCGCCACAAATTCATTGGGTGAAATTCTCAAATTCAATCAGAAAACCTAAAAGTTTTTATTTGCAAAAGTCAAGTTTTTCTGATGGATAGCGGTTATCGAGATATTCCCTGAGGACGCCACATTACATCGAAAAAATACAGTAGTAAAGTAGCGCCTTCAGCGAATATCT